CAATCACTCCATTGATTTCGACAATGCTTGTGTCATTGACAAAGGCAATTACCGCGTTCGAAAAACACTAGAATCTTGGCATACAGCAAAAACCGTTGATGTGGATAACAACTCAAAACCGTTGCCTAAGCAATACTCTATTTTATTGTAATCAGGCCTCATTTACATTTTTATCTTCTCGCTTTTTTCACGCTTGTTTTTATTCTCAATTTTTTCGCACCCCATTCGTATATATTTTCGCTTGCGCGCCACATTTTTCATTCGTTAAAGGCTATAGACTGATAGTCGAAAGCTTATGTTTCTAATATATTTTTAACCAGAGAACGTTTTTATTCCAATACAATCATTTTCTGTTAACTTGAAGTGTTTTTTTTACTTATTTTTATTGCTTTCATTTTGCGTAACAAACTGGATAGTACTAGAGAACAAGCCACATTGTTTGTTCACCCAGTTAGGAGCAATACTTTATAAAATTTCAGTTGTGACTGGCGTGTTTTTATTTTAAGTTTTGATTAGTTCATTACACTTATTAATTTAAGACATAATCTGTTGTCACTGGACAGCTATGATTAATTCTTTAATTCTGGGTTAACGGCTACAATAATTTGAAATGCTTTAAGCGGCTTTCCTTGAGGGTAACCAAGGCCGTGAGGGTGTTTTGAAATCTGATCTTAATTAGCATAGATTTTTATGGTTTTCTCCATTTTCTCCTTAGTTTTAGTTTCAATTGAGAAGACATGTCAAACACTCAAGACAGTGTTTGATCACATTTCCAAACACCTAGAAGTTAAATGTTTGATATGGCTCAATCAATATCATGCTAATTAACTTTTCACACATATTGACCATATTTATTGGTGACTTTTTTTGGGTCTATTGCAGGGCCACCCCATCTCCATGTTTTGGCTGGAAAGTGCTTTCCCTTAATAAATAATGGGTAATGGAATAATTTAACATCAAGTTAGATTATGTTTCAAAAATTATATAATATACTAGGAAAGTCGTGGTCACCTTCCAAATGCTGGCCTTCAAATAAAGATGATGGAAAACATGGTTACATTTAAGACTTTCCACTTCTTTCATATTGTAGTTTGTTAATTTAAAAGTGAAAGATACATTACTATGTCTTTGAATAACACATGGTCGATGTTCAATGAATGGCAAGTTGTATTTTTTATTGCTGTCAATCTCTTAGCAGATGTCTCAGGAAAGAGTTGCTCACTTCAAGAAGTTCAAAAGTTCACATTTGTTGGTTGTGATTGGCAGATTTTGATTAACTTTTTTGTTTCTGTTTTTCAAAGTTTGTTGAATGTCATCATATTCATAATTGTAATACTGGTTTTATGATTGACAGCAGCAAAAAAAGCACTCATTAGTTTCATTTATTATTAAAAAAGGTGCCATAAATCAAGTAAAGTAAAAATGTTAGTAGACTTTCTCAAAGTCCTTCTTAGTTGTAGATAGTGCCAGCATGAAGGAAGTCTATAACCTGCAGCATACCAAATTTTCCCGAGGAATTTTTCTCTGGTGCCATATTTGAGCCAATCAGAAAAATGTCAGTCAAACAAGACACTTTCATTTGATTTTGATTAATATTTTGGAAAAAAGAAATGAGCAAACTGCATGAATGTCCAAGTGAAAGAAGTTTTGCAAGGAAAATGTTCCATAGTTTCCAGAAGCCCAAACTCATGAAGTGGAAATAGAGGATATTACAGGCCCACGCATGGAAACAAATTTTATCTTTGAGTGTTCAATTCCATATCTCACGAGTGAGTGCAGCGAACAAGTGAGATATTGAGTTGAACATGAGAAGATAAAATTCATATCCACAAGCAGGCATGTAATATTCTGTTTGTTATATAAACATACTAATGACAATGTTTTTGATGATTTTCCGAAGATTTCTGACCACTTTCCAAAGATTTCCAAAGATTTTCCAAAATTGTTCTGAAGGCCAGACAAACGCTTCTGAACATTTTCCAAACATTTCTGAACATTTTCCGAAGATTACCGATGATCGTCAAAGATTGCCAAAGATGACTGAAGAAGGTCTGACGATTTTTCAATCATACATCAACAAATTTAAGTGTAGTTATCAAGAAAAATGTTATCAAAAAGGAATGATATCTTCACAGTGTGAAAGATAAAAATAGTATCTTCACTGCATGCGATGAAGATATGATTTTTGAAGTAAAAGGAAAAATCCTGGTATTTCACTGGTGTTTATACAATAAAAATGTATTTGTAAATAGCTTGATGAATTTGGTGGGTTTATTGAATTCACTATGTTCTGTATTGGTGCTTGTAATGCTGGTGATTGTACAACGCATGTAATTTAGTTCGGATAGAACTGTTGTAATGGCAACTGACATTTCATCAACGTGAGTGGAAGTCATCTTTAGAGTCAGTCATTGGTCAGTTGTACTAAGATCATGTAATTTACTTTGAAATAACACATGGCTTGTGCCACACACTGTCGACAACAGCAAAATACTGTCTTTTTAGTTTGCCAGTGAGCCAGTGTTTCTTGTCTACTGAAGCATCACAGCAAGGGTTGATAAAAACCTCTTTTCCTGGTTCCACTTGGTGAAAATCAAGAAATTAGTCTATGAAATGCTTTCTGTCAAATTTTCTCAGATTTGATGCAGTGCCAAATATGTTTGTCATGTTGGTTGTAAGAAAACTGAAACATGACAGCCAAGAAAATATGCATCATAACAATGTCACTTGATGCGCTTTCTTGCAAGTGAAACAAGTCAAGCTTGCTGTCCTCTACCTTGCACTCTTCGTTCTCAAGTTTTGAACAATGTAGACATTTTTTGCTTTCTGAGCTAAAACGTTAGTTGTTATCTTAAGCCTTTATCTCTTCTGAAAGCTCACTTCCAAGTAACATTTATTTATTTTCTAATATTGTCATATATTATAATCTGTGATTCTACAGGTACAAGTATGAGTTCTGTCCATTTCATAATGTGACTCAAAAGGAACAAACAGTAAGATGGAATGCATTTGCAGGCATTCTAGGGTAAGACATATATGGGTATGAGGAGTCTCTTGTGCATTTGATCAATAACATGTACTTTAATTAGGCTAGAGTCATTTACAAAGATCACAGGTTAGAAAATGTTCTCCAGGTTTTTTCTCTTTGAAGTATGACTGCCCACTGGCAGGGTACCTAACCCATTGTGGTCATTCAGGAGAAATAATAATGTTGGTTACAAATGAAATTGTTGCTATCGTTGGCTTGTCCTAACAATTTACTGGCACCATTTACAACTTTTTTTATACTGGAACCCATGTATACATTCTGCTGAAGTGTAAAAGTGTCTTGCTTTTAAAAGATCACAATGCCGATTACCCTCAATCTGGAGTTCGACTCACTGACCATTATATATTATGCTACTTAATATAAATGTCACCTACATGTAACAACTATTTAGTCAAGACTCCAGGTTTTAAAATATATATAATTTAGTGTGTTTGCATGTTTTGCTACCCAGTGTGTGGAAGGAATGGGTCATTGTCAACAACACATTTCAAGCCATGCTGTTTGCAAATGGTGATATGTGTCCTGGAGAGAAACCACGGCAGACAAAGGTATATACAGCCCTGGCATGCCCAATAGATGAAAATCAATGATTGGTAAAATCAATAAAAATTATTTGACTGGTATCAGAAATAGATGAAATTCAAAGATTGAAAGAGTTGTGATTATCAATTTTCATTGATTATATCGGTTATCATCAGTAGTCGTGTAATAATGATTTCAGATGTGTTTGTGCTGCACTTAATTAATTGTACATAATAAATTCTTCCCTTCTCATTTGCTGCTTTTCCTTTAACTGTGTCAAAAATATGATAAACTTGTTCAAAAATGTGCATGAAAATCATTTCTTTCTAAAAGTCTTGTTAGTTGAAACTCGTGATACGGGACAATATAAACATCCTCCAGCTAACCTGCTCAAATCTATATGAATGACTGTAATTTCCCAATTTTGTTGAGCAACCTTTCTTAAAATTACCCATTCCTACATAACAAGAGATCTTCCTTGCAGAGACTAAATTATAGGACAGAAAAAATTTAGCTCTTTGAGGCAATCAATAAAGATAATTACAGTAACTTACGGCAGTGTAAAGCGATTCAGTGAATCACTGCTGATCATAGGACGTGGTTACATGTTTCATTGGCTTGAAGTAAGGATAGTTAAAAATAACTGTTTACTTTCTACAGTTTTTCAAGAGTTGGATAGACATTATTATAAATTAAGATTATTTTGCTCAAGATTAAAGTAAGGATAAGTTGGATCCATTCCTTTTGCCCTCATATGAATTAGGAGTGTCTTCATTTTTATATTATTTGCTTACAATTGAATCCCCAGGTATTATTAAGATGTGGAGAGCAGAACAAAGTCATGTCAGTAGTTGAACCTACAATATGTCATTATGAATTGAGATTTGAGACCCCTTTGGCTTGTCCTATAGATGCATTCTTAGGTAAGATATTTGTGGAGATTTTAGCAACTTGTCACAGAACAGAATTGTGAAACATTTTGCTACAACTCACAATGTAAAATTGTTGTAGTGTTGAAACAAAATGTTGTCCATATTACTTGACCCATGGCTATGTTGTTCAAAGACCGAATAAACTAACCAGGATTAGGGGGAATTTCGTTTTCAGTTTTGTAACTCTTTGGTGAAGTTTTCTGTTTAAATTGTCTGTCCTTCAGTTTTGAATTTGAACAATCTCAAACCACACAAATAATAAGCAGTGAAAAACATTTCTATACAAGAAAAATTAATACTACAGACTTTAACTTTTAATCCTCTGAGAGCATTAACTGGCTTTCGAACATCCTTTCCCAGAAGCTTGGACCACTGATGACAAGGCGGGGGGGAGGTCATCAAGAGTTGACAGAGCAGATTTTTGCAGGAGTTTTCTTTAACTCTCAGCATCAGCCAATCAGGAAGAAACCCTCTCGACAATTTGTCAAGAAGTGTTTGAACAGGTTCAGATTCAGTAGAAATGCTAGAGAGTTGATGAGGAGTCGCCAAGAGTACATTAGAGTTTCAGGTGAAATGAAAAATGGAGGTTTGAACTTTGTCAACTCTCATTATCACTTGGCCCAGCCTTAAGGCTCAAATGAAGCATCATGCTCAAAATGTTGTATCCATTGCAGGCAGTATGAGTACAGCTATTTCAGTGATCTTTTATCACTTCTGATCAGTTTGGGAGGTTCTTCTTATACCAGCTATGTTTGATGATAACCAGCTGTATTCCCATGCTACTGCATCCAAGAATAAGATGACCGAGTGTCTTTTTTAACATTAGGTCTGGGCCATGCACTGAATCATTGAGAAACCATTCTATATTCAAGTCACTTTTTAAAAGATATCTTTTCTTACAAAATGAATGGTTCAATGTTTCAGTTTATCCAGTACTCAGTCCAGAAGGCCAGAAAGAATGGGAACAAATAGAGGAGGCATTATATCGTGAAGAGCTAACCATGCAAGGCTACAAGAAATACAGACGAGCACTCTTCCAGAAGGAAAACCTAATTCCTCAAGATGGAACAGAAAATGAAAAACACAGTGATAAAAAAAAGGACAAGGAGCCTTTGGTAGGGGCTTTGAGTTCAGATGCAGGGGATCATAAAGCACAGAAGAGCTTTGATTTTAATTCTAAAGAAGAGTGTTCTAAGGTAAATAAAGAACTTTGCAATGCCCATGAATCTGTACTTTTTATTTATATATTCATGCTGATATTTAGTAATGTGTAACAGGTATCCAAAGCATACACTGTACTATTAGTAACGCAGAGTTTGAAGGAACATGAAATTTGATCTTTTTTGGCTAAACGTTTTTTATCATTGCTGGCCACTTTAGTCTTATTGCTTCCCATTTGAAATATCAGCAAAATTATTTTCCGTACCGTTTGCTTTTCAAGCCTCAAGTTTTTCCTTTCATTAAATGTTTATACATTTACTTATTGATTAGAAATTTATAATTAACCAAAAGAAAACAAAGGAGTCTGGTTTCAATATTGGGTCTACAGCTTCAATGTTTCAGTTGAAGGTTCAGATTCATGATATGACATCCTTAGCGGCTAACTAGTCAAATCAAGCATAAAGCGCGAAGTTAAAAGGTTGTTCCACCCCCACCCCCTGTGAAAACAAGAAAAAAATAAAAATAAAAATGTGAAAATAAAATCAATCAATCAATCGAAATTTGATTTCAAATTTCAGATCCATGAACTCTTATATTACAGTGAAAGTACGTTCTGGTTACCTGCGATATAGCCTACCTGTTGTAATATTTTCGGTTACTGTAATACAATGTACATTGTAGTACGATTTATAAATTTCTCCCAAATGGGGGTTTCAGCACTAATTTACATTAATATACATTGTATATCAACAATTATTTTATGTTAATTTATTAAAATTACAACCAATTATTAAGGCTAATAAAACAAATGGCGTTCACAAAAAGGTAAGGTTAAAAACGGTGCAATGCAATGCAGAAAGTCACATATATCTTTAACACTGGAGGGTTTTCACCGGTCTTCTTGAACGAGCTTAATGAAGGTCAGGGAAAGTTTCTTAACAGATGGCTCAACTAATCGTTGAGCTAAAGAGTAGACGTTCTGTACTTGCTCAAGTTGATGTCCTTGGACTGCCTAATGGAAACCTCAAGACTAAGATCGCTCACCAATATTTGTACTAAGATAGCGTAAGGACATTCACGCTAATTGTTTCTGCGCATCCTTACTGCGCACGCAAATTCACACGCCACGATGCATGAGAGTGCGCGCTAAGTAATAAAACAATGATAGGGTAGATGGCCATTGCTATGTATAGCTTTGCTTAGATTTAACGATCTTGAACGTTCATTGATCCCTACTTTTCTTTCCAGAAACAGATTTTATTTACAATTATCTCCACATTGTCCAAAAATGAACAAAAAACCAATGTGGGAAGTTAAAAAAATTTCAGGATTTCTGTCCAGGGGACGTCGAATCCTGCCATCTTGCAGCTGCAAGGCACGTGAAACTATGGTCGCTAAATGCGAACTTGTTCTTTAAGGAACCTCACTAGTTGACTAAATTCACTTAATAGGTCCAGTTAAAGTGCCTATGAAGTAAAAAAATAATTGCTGCTTATTTGAAAGGCTTATCAAAGTAAAGAAGAATGGCGTTTCCCTTTTTAGAATATCTTTTT